AACATCTTGTACCAAACTTCGCCTTGTTCACATCAAAATCTTGAAACCCTCCCCTTAATTCTCTCCTCCTCCAATAATTTGACTTGTAATAATTCTTGATATAGCACCTAAATCACCTAGACAATTGTGTGCACGAAAGGACTAAATACTCAAAACTAACACAACTAAAAAATATATTGCCCAAGTCGCACTGTGGGTCGACTACGATTTTACACACCACAAATTTAGTGACCGCTGGTGGACTGCGATTTACAAACCGTGGTCACCGGACCTTCATATTCCCCCTATCTGAGATTTAGCGAGTATTTTATATTCCTTGTACGATTCTGGTCATTCGTGGTTCAAGTCTTCAACATTGATCCCGCAACTTCTAAAAGCTTTCAAATTGGTCCCCGAATCCACTGCCATCCAAGATTGGTTCTCTTCAATTTAAAATAAATTATTCTTTTAAATTTAAAAGTATGTTAAAAAACACATAGCAAGGCATGTTTGAAAATAAAAGATGGGAACAAGTACATATAGATATGGGGCAAGCGGACCTCCCAATCTCCTGCCCCACCAGATTGGCGGGCGTAGTGTAGGGGCGGGATGGAGATTAAAAAATATCTCAATTTTCTGTCCTATTTACTTGGAATTATTACAATAAATACAATATAAATTTAAAATATAAAAATAAATAAAAGTCGAGATGGTTCAAGGGATGGACAATGTTTCCGATCCTTTCCCTGATTCCTTAATGAAGTGGAAAAGGGATATTTTATCGTCCCAACATAACCTAAAGTTAATTGAATGTGCGATTTATTCGTTTTTTTAAGTATGTATAGTCAAATGGTAGTTAACAAAATGTTGTTCACACAAAGCGGCCAGTAGGTACGAAAGGTGTGATATTTGACTGAACAATGGGCGGTGCCAAAAACATAGTTGTATTGACGAAATTAATTAAGAAAAATTGCAGCATTATGCCTAGTAGCAAACTAGTTGTCACCATTCTTTTGGTTTTTGTCCAAAACCCGTACAAGTGTATGCTTTTCCATCAAAAAGACCATTTTAGTTTTCCCTAATTCTTGATTTTAAAAAATTAAAGATAAGGAAAAAAAAATGGATATTAGATCAGAAAGAAAACGATTGATTTGGGTTTTTATTTTTATTTTTCAGTTTTAAGTAAGAATAAGAATCTAATGAACTTTTTAATAAAATGGACGGAAGTGCAATACAACAGTTTAAAGATAATTTGGACGATTTTCATCCAAGAAGCATTGATTTGCAATACAATAAAATGTGCGGAAAAAAAAAAAGGAGTTTCGATTTTCCTAACACGCCGTAATTAGTTTGTATTGCCTATAATATTTGGCAAGATGACGCCTAATAATTTGAAGTTATTAATCGAGGTGTCAAATTTGTATTTCAATGTATCACGATATACAATTTTTGGAGAAAATGATGGTAGCAGTTTGAGTCGATGTCCAGGGTGACACCTAACGTTTATATAAATACGAGTTGGTTTGTATTAAATGCTTCCCACCACCATCTATCTGTATCCATTAATGAGCTCACATAACTATGGGAGTAACAGTGAAACACTTCAATCCCCTACCATTTCTCCTTATTTACAAAACCATATTTTTACTGTTCAAGACAGTGGTGGTTGATCCTCAATAACTTTGAGAGAGAGAGAGAGAGAGAGAGGGAGAGAGTCAAATTCACAAGAGTTGCAACTCTCATACATATCCCATTTTCACCAGTTCTGAGTGGATATAAACATATTATTTGTGTCTCATTCTTTGATCATCGTGATGAGGAGTTCAGCAGATGATGTTATGATGGAGATTGAGGCCTGTAAGCCACAAAACAGTGGCCTTGTAATTGGAGGTTTAAGTCCTTTGAGTGAGACTCTTTGGAAGGACAAAACAAATACAGATGTGGTAGGGGATGTATCAGCCAGGCTAACTTGGAAGGATCTAACCGTAATGGTTACACTTAGCAATGGAGAAACACAGAATGTTTTAGAAGGATTATCTGGTTATGCTGAGCCTGGAAGCTTTACAGCCCTTATGGGGCCTTCTGGATCTGGAAAATCTACACTGCTCGATGCCCTCTCTGGCAGACTTGCTGCGAATGCGTTCTTATCAGGGACCATTCTGCTTAATGGTCGAAAGGCCAAGCTTTCTTTTGGGACTGCGGTATGGTCTAGCTGCTTAGGTTCAGTTCTTTATAAACTTGTTTTCAACTGATTCATTGAATTTTGCTGCCTGCAGGCTTATGTAACTCAAGATGACAACTTGATTGGCACTCTGACTGTGCGAGAAACGATTTCTTATTCTGCACGATTGCGGCTTCCTGATAGAATGCCGTGGTCTGAGAAAAGGACATTGGTAGAGAGCACCATTATAGAAATGGGACTTCAAGATTGTGCTGACACTGTTATTGGAAACTGGCATTTGCGTGGCATCAGCGGTGGAGAAAAGAGAAGGGTTAGCATTGCGGTCGAGATTCTGATGAGGCCGAGATTGCTTTTTCTCGACGAACCAACCAGTGGACTCGACAGGTTACTAGTCACTAAC